AATAGCATTGGTGAAGAATTTTTGAATGGATGTTTAGTTTGTAAGATAGAGCGGAAGATATTTGAAAATGTAAGTAATGATGCTATTATAGATCGTTTTCAAAGTATGAAGTCTTGTCGAGTACAATTGTAAACTGATGATATTTTTTGTGATAATGTAATTTTTATGTATTGCTCGCTTAGTTATTGTTATTATAATTTTTTTGATATTATCTTTAAAGCAATGGTGCACCCGTTTTCTTAAAATCCTGGATTCGCCTCTGGTTGTGAGTTAGTAAAATGATCAAAACTAAAATAAGGTTTTGTTTATACATATATTACTTATGATATCATGAAAAATGATGAGGTACAATCATACAATTATAACAACTAAATAAGTTAGGTTCGATTATATGAATTTTAGATTATGTTATTATATTAAAGATACTATTACATGTAATATGACTATTACAATCATGATATCACATTAAATGGAGATGACACCTGTATTTTCATATGCTCTTGAATGAGAAGGGAGACATGAATATTGTGTCGGGGGAATTAGAGCATTTCGAGAGTTGTAGAAATTTTGTATATTATAGATGTATAAAGTTTGTGGAGGTTAAGGGGAAAATTCAGTGGATGAGAAGGGGAAGAACAATTGGATCAAGTGGGTAGGATCTTGGTGGAATTTTGTAAGAACGCAAGCGATATAGGTGTGGAGTAACCAACTGGGTTGTTTAATGTCATTTTAGAATGACTAGAATGTCAGATGATGTATGGGCAGACTAAGAGGAATAAGACCAAGAACGAAGTTATACAGGATAAGGTGGTAGTTGTCTCCGTGGCGATCAAGATGGGGAAGCGAGATAAGATGGTTCAGGCATGTCAAGAGGAGGTGTGCAGATACACCAGTGAGGAGGTGTGAGAGGTTGACTATAACAAATTTTAGGAGAGGTAGAGATAAAGATGAAAAAAAAGCTATGGAAGGTGATTAGACAAAACATAACTCATCTTTAACTTACTGAGGACATGACCTTGGATAAAAAAAATATAAAGATTGAGAATTTGGGTTAAAAGGGTAGTAAGTGCGAAGGGTTTTCGTACTTTATGTGGGAGAGGTTAGGGTCAGTCTCCTTTACAATCTTCTCCTTATTTGGTACTCCATCTATCTCATTTTATGTGACACTTTTCATTTTTCGAGAGTCAAACAATTTAAGTTTGACCGAAAATTTGCGCATGAAATCTTCAATTTTTTTGAAATGAAATTTATATATTTGTAAATTACGTAAAAAGTATTATATGTCACAATAATTGATAATTCAAAATGTTTAAAAAATCTATGAAAAATTTACAGTCAAAGATAGACTTGTTTGAATCTCGAAATGCGAAAAGTGTCACATAAAATTGGACGTAGGGAGTAATATTTATTTAGTATTAGCGTGGTATCTTATTCTTCATTTCTTAGTATTATTGCTACTTCATTTGTTTTATGTATCTTGCTATTATGTTGCTGTTATTTTTCTTTAATATTCTGCTTTGATAACTTTCTTTGAGCTGAGGGTCTATATAAAAAAAAAATCTCTCTATCCAAAAGATAGGGGTAAAATCTGGCATCTGCATAAATTTTATTCTTCTCATGCTTCACTTGTGGAATTACATCAAATGTGTTATTGACTTATTGCTAATTTGCTACTCCCTCTGTCTCTAATTACTTGTCCACTTTTAAATTGACACACCTATTAAAAAAACAATTAATGACATGGTGAGTTTATCATTTTACCCCTATTAATTATGAAATAGATGAAAAGTTCTGCATTTTTCAAAGTAATTAGTCATTTAATTGAGGGTATAATAAGTAAAAAAAAATTGTCCTTTCTTGATTTACCAAAATGGACAAGTAATTAGGGATAACTATAAAATGAAAAGTGGACAAGTAATTAGGGACATATGGAGTATTATCATTTACATTTCGTAGACTAAAATTGTACTCCCTCCGTCCCATTTTATATGTCATCCCTTTCTGTAAATAGTTGGACCACAATACTTGTCATTTTATAAAATTTATGCATAAATTACCATATTTTGTCTATTATACCCTTGATAGAATAGTTAATTAATTTTGTCATTTATTAATAAAATTTACTTAAGAAAATATTAAATAAGGGTAGAAGAGTAAAGTTACATCATTTTTTATGCAAGTGCAAAATAAAAATGTGACGTATAAAATGGGACGGAGGGAGTATAAAAATAAAAACAATACAAGTGTTTTATTGTGTGCAAAGGGACAGGGAAGATAAAAAGTTTTAAAGTGTGTGTGGAGGGAAGGCGGTTCAATTTTCCCTAGATGGCAATGTAACATCATATACATATGGATATGGGCCAGTTTGTGTTAGGAAAAGAAGTTTGGACAAGTAAGAATTTTCCACGTTTGATTCTCTTGCCAAAATCTTGGAATGACCGCCCTTATGAGGCATGAGCTGGTCTATCATTGAGAGATCACACTACTTTCCACTTCTGAACATTACTCAATTTTTAATGTCTTTATGATTGGACATGCATTTCCAGCTACCTAACTCCTTGCTTCCCAAAGATAAGGGATGTGTCATAACTCATACTTTTAGGAATGGGTAATGCTAAATGGCCAGACAATTTTGTCAGATTTTGACTAGAAATTTAAAAAATCTATAATATTTTTTTTATTTTAAAATAAATTGATCTTTTTTCCATTTTTAATTAAAATATATTAAAGTTAAAATGGTAAAAATGTTAAAAAAAAATGTAAAATAATATAGGTAAAATACCATTCTAGCCAAATTCTGAACAAAAGGATTTTTCCTTTAGGAATTACTCCTTAGTTCATTTTTAGTTCTTACCTTTTGATTTGACACATTTATTAAGAAAATAATTACTAGTATATGTATTTTATCACACTATCCCTATTAAATGATGTTTAGTATTAGGTTTTGAAAATAAGTATTTAATGTGGAGGGTAAAACATGAAAAAACTAATTGTATTTTCTTGATATGTCAAAAGTGACAAGTAAAAATGAAAATATATTCTAGGAATAAATGACACGGAGGGAGTAATAACTACTCCCTTAATCTCATTTTATGTGGCACCATTTGACTTGGCATGGTGTTTAAAAAAGGAAAACTTTTGAAACATGTGGTCTAAAACAATTCTTAGATATTTGTGTGATTGAAAATCATTTCATTAAGAGTAAAACGGTTATTTTGAAAAAATTATTTCTAATTATAATAAGATAATATTCTTTTTGGGACAGACTAAAAAAAGTGTCACATAAAATGAGACGGGGGAGTAAATAACAAGAGGGAGTTTTCATGTCAAAGTACGCAACATGTCATGTAAAGGTATTTGGGTTATTCTTTTGTGATTTATCCGTTTTAATTTATTT